TAGGAATACATCCTCCGGTTGGTAGATGGTAAAATTATACTTATTTCTTATTTTCATAAATTTTCACTAAAAAAACAAATTAGATTAGCAAAGATTGCTTGTGATCATTCGTTCTGTTCAATAGAAATAATTTCCATTTTTGTTTGAAAAATACATTTTTTCCGAATTAAAAAGTAAGGGTTACAACCCCCAAAAACGGAATCACTTGTGAAACATCTGCTTTTTTATAAGAAGTAGTTTACACTTTGTTTCATTCAAAAATATTGATTAGAACCCGAGATATCACGGAAATACTGTTTCTGGGGGTTTAAATCCGTTTTAGGCTAATAGAAAAAATTATTCGTATGATTAAAGAAAAAGTAAAAACTTTTTATTTTATAATATTAATTCTAATCGTGCAGACATTTCTCGCACTAGGGGGTTGTTCACCCACTAAAAAGGGATTTTAACGAAAACCCCGAAACAGGTCAATTTAATTTTGTCAATTTGTTTACATAAATCATATTTTTAATTCTTTTTGAGCATATATAAATTTTGTACCTATATATAAAAATGTTTGAAAATTATAGTTTTTCTGGAATAAAAAATAAGGGTAGCAAACCCCAAACAGGGAATCACTTGTAAAACATTTGTTTTTTATAAGAAGTAATTTCCACTTTGCTTCTTTCCAAAATATTGCTTAGAACCGCAGATATTTAGAAAAAACTGTTTTTGGGGGCGAATTTTGAGTGTATTTCACCCCCTATATATGTTTTTCCGCTGATAAAAACACCTTTTCCATATAACTCATTTTCACTACTAAAACAATACTGCAACTATTTAAAGGAGAGCGCGATTGTGTGCAATTGTCAAATGTGACGGATTTTGTAATATAAATGCCGCGATCAGGTCAGCCCAGAACGGACCGCGATGCGACGGGACGGGACGGGACCACGAACGCCTAATAAAAAAGACCGCGATCAGCTCAGCCCAGAACGGACCGCGACAGGACGGGACCGCGACCGTCTAATGTGTTCTCTCCTTTAATGTAGAAAGTAGCTTGCATATTGTAAAACTTTCTGCTAAGTCGGAAAGGACACGATGTCTCACATTCTTATAATTGTAACTCACTAAAAGATATGGAATAAACATTCAGAGACTACTGTTTCCCAAGTGAGGACGTGCCTTATGATTACCGATCCTGCCCCTTATCCTAATGAATAAAATGAACAAAGTTAAGTTCACTACAACTTTTAATTGCGGCCACAGCATAAATAATAATTAACGTTACAAAAAAATTTAATGAATTATAAATACTAAGTTGTTAAAAAATTGCAAAAACGTCTAAATTCAAATTTAGTTCTCTCGACCAAACTTCCTTCCACTCGAACACATCAATCGTCTTCTTAAATTTAAAAATACTTTACATAACTGTTAGGGTTAATCTCTGCACAAGCTTATCTTATGCGATTCATTAGGTCATCCAAATTCCTTGGTCTGTTTTTATAAACTTTTTGTTTTATAAAACCCCAAAAGTAAAAGTCCATAGGGGACAAATCAGCGGATCTTGGTTACTATTGTACCTCTGGACTCCTCCCAATCCACTTATTTCGAAACTGGTGATTAAGCCAACTAATGACAGTGATGTGAATTGCAGCTCCATCCAACTGTAAACAAATATTTCTTCTTCCCAATAAAGGAATATCCTGTATAATGTCCCATAATTTATTATTCATAAACTGAAGAGAAATACTTCACCATTTAAGTTATTATAAAAAAAGAAGGGACCTATTACTCCGTGCTTTGAAATTTCGCAAAACACATTAACTTTCTGTCAATACTGTCTCTGCTGTAATTATAAAATTAGGATTATTTTCATTCCAAAAACAAATATTTTGAGAAGATACGACTCCGTTTGTCGTAAAGGAAACTTCAACAGTGAAAACAATATTGCCCGGAAAATTATTATCATTTAAATAATTTCTACGTGCCTACAAATAAAATTCCATTCGCCTGTCCTCATCACTTTCCAATGTCTGAACAAACTTGGGCTTAAACGATTCTATATTGTTTTTTTTAGATAATGACGAATTTTGTTTTTCGAACAGTTTAACCAAACTGGCATTTCGGGGCCTACTTTTTGAGTTATTACGAAACTATCAATATCAATTATCAATATATCAATTCAATTCTATATCTTTAAAATCTGCAATCTCCTCTCGCTCCTACACTGGGCCGCGAAAAGGGCCGATTTATCGGACCTAAGGATCTTCGCGGAAGCCGCGAAGCGGCGACCGCCGTGGCGCTTCACGCCACGACGTCCTCCCGTCGTCGCTTGGTAATGTTTTCTCGGCGGTTTTTCCGCTTTTTCGCGGGTAAAATTTCGGCCCACCGTCCGATGCCGAAAATTGCCCTACGGAATTTCGCTCTTCTAGACGTTTTTAGAGACGTGGGGTCGTTATTTTCACGTCTCAGATCGATTTCCGTCCCTCGCGATCGATATCGCGGCGAAAAAACGGAATTTGAACGTTTCAAAATTTTCGTCGAGTTCGAGCCGATGCGGACCGTTAAATAACTTATACAAGGACAACCCACCCAGTGTCTGGGATAGCTCGATGGACTGGATGAAGGACACTAAGCGCGCTTCGTTTCTTCCTTTATCCAGACGTCATATTTTGAAAGCGATTTCTTAACGTATTCGATGTGGAATTTTCCTTTTCCGGGACGGTTGCTCGCGCGGAACAGAGATGCAACGTGTCGGCAGACGGCAACGCCCATCGACGGAAACATGACAATTGCGATTGATGTCAGATTGAAACGTCAAAATAAATTTGACACCAATAGCTAAAGACGTTCTAGGGTTGAGGATTGTTGTTATTTCATCTTTCTAGGCCACTTTTAAACTTTAATTTATAGGTACCCTACGATATATACAGGTATTTATTTATCATTACGTTTTTATTTACATTTTTTCTTAGCTCTACCACTACATACGTGGTATACCTGCTGTATGTCTCTCGATTTGCTGTAAGTACCCACTAAAAATTGTATACTTATTTCTTTCTAATTTTAAACAAACCAGTACGTAAATCCCTTCATCTTTGTATTAGTACATTTGCTTCGTTAATTACTATATTACATTCCTATTATTCCACAAACGTCAAAAGTTGCGAATTGAGCTAAAGACTTCCAGGTCGTGGAATGTTGTTCTTTCTCTGTTTTATACCATTCATTCAGAAAACAAGCTTCACATAAAGACGTTAGTGTAGCGGTGAAAATGGGATAACCTAAGATTTATTTCTTACATATTGCCGCAATTTAATTCTATGGATTTACCTTTTTAAAGATGAAAAAATATACATTTTCAAAAACTTTTTTCTACAGTGTCTAAAAAAAAGTGCGTTGAAGCTCGAACGGTCAGGAGGATTCTGTATATTTAAAAAATTTATTGATTGCAATATTTTTATGACAAATCTACAAATCATATCTTATTAACCAGATGTTTTGTACTGGATGTTTCATAAAGCTGACACAGGAGAACTAGGATTTTTTTCTCATGTCACTACCCACTTCCTACATTATTTATTGAAATATCTTGATGAAAATTTATATAGTTCCTCACCAGACGCTTTCTTTGAAAATCCATATACTGGATTGACATACTACATAAATACACCTGACTACATAAATTGACCCAGGTCAGAATTATCGGTCCAGAGGCTTCTGCATATTTCAGAAATTTATTGATGGCAATATTTTTATGAAAAATCTTATATTGTAGAACTCGCAAATTTATATACTGAGTGTTTCATAAAAATGAAACAGGCGGACTAGGATTTTTTTCTCATTTCACTACAGGCTTCTGTATATTTCAGAAATTTATTGATGGCAATATTTTTATGAAAAATCTTATATTGTAGAACTCAGAAGCATTTCGCAAATTTATATACTGAGTTTTTCATAAAAATGAAACAGGCGGACTAGGATTTTTTCTCAATTCACTACCAACTTTCCTACATTATTTATTTAAATCTCTTGATGAAAATTTATATAGTTACTAACCAGACCCTTTCTTTGAAAATACATATACTGGATGTTCTACATAAATTGACCCAGGTCAGAATTATCGGTCCAGAAGATTTAGTATATTTCAGATATTTATTGATGGCAATATTTTTATGACAAATCATACCTTATTAACCAGATGTTTTGTACTGGATGTTTCATAATGCTGACAAAATTTTCCTTTCTCTTTCAACTTTATTTTTACTTACTTTAATGAAAAATTGTATATTTACTAACCAGATATCTTTTTGGAAGTTTATACTGGATGTTCCAAAAAATGATCCACTTCAAAATTAGGAGACAGTGAAACTTAACTTATTTTTTTCCCATTTCTGCCTAACCTACGTACTGAAATCTTTGAATGAAAAATTGTCTATTTACTGTATGTTCTACAAAACACTTCAGAATTAGGAGAGTGAAACATAACTTATTTTTCCTCATTTCTGACCTACCTATGTACTGAAGTCGTTGGATGAAAAATTTTATATTTACTAACTAGATACCCTTTTGGAAGTTTATACTGGATGTACAAAATGATCTACATCCGAATTGAAACCAAAACAAAAAGGCGGCAGACCAGATATTTTTTTACCCTTTTTACCTTTTTCTACTTTCTTTGGTAAAGATCATTGAAAAAAATTTTGCATTTACCAACACGATGCTTTTTTGATAATTTTTATACCGAATGTTCAAACAAAATTTATCCAGGTCAGAGTTGCAACTGTTCAAACGTATTCATATTCTTTTTATTTCATTCTACTTTATTTTTTGAGGTAACAATTTTATTTGTTTTTTGAAGCTTTACAATAAAGTGCATGTTCTATAAAATTGGTCCAGGACAGACCCCGTGGATTATTCCTTATCATATTTATTTCTTCTACTTTATTTAGTGAAGCCTATTCATAAAAATTTTTTTATTTACTAACCAGATGCCATTTTAAAACTTGCTACATAGAATGTTTCACAAAATCGACCCACATTTGAATTGTGATAATAATGTAGATGGTGGTGATGTAGATGATGGTGGTGTAGATGATGGTGACGTAGATGATGGTGGCGTAGATGATGGTGGCGTAGATGATGGTGTTGTAGATGATGGTGATATAGATGTTGCTGTAGTAGATGATTATGGTGATGTGGATGGTGGCGATGTAGATGATGGTGATGTATATGATGGTGATGAAGATGATGTCGATGATGTAGATGATGGTGCTGTAGATGATGGTGACGTAGATGATGGTGTTGTAAATTATGGTGATGTAGATAATGACGCTGTAGATGATGGCGATGTAGATGATGGTGGTGTAGATGATGGCGATGTAGATTATGGTGATGTAGATGATGATGATGTAGATCATTCCGATATAGATGACAGTGATGTAGATGATGGCGATAGATGTAGATGTTGTAGATGATGGCGATATAGATGTAGATGATGGTGATGTACATGATGGTGCTGTAAATTATGGTGATGTAGATGATGACGCTGTAGATGATGGTGGTGTAGATGATGGCGATATAGATTATGGTGATGTAGATAATGGTGATGTAGATCATGGCGATATAGATGACAGTGATGTAGATTATGACGAAGTAGATGTAGATGATGGTGATGTAGATAATAGCGATGTTGATTATGGTGATGTTGATGATGACGATGTAAATGATGGTAATGTAGATGACGGTGCTGTAGATGATGGTGCTGCAATTATGGTGATGTAGATGATAGCGATGTAGATGATAGCGATGTAAATGATGGCGATGTAGATGATGGCGATGTAGATGATAGTGCTGGATATTATAGTGCTGAAGATTATGGTGATGTAGATGGTGATGTAGATGGTAATGTAGATGATGGCGATGTGGATAATAGTGATGTGGATGATGGTGATGTAGATGATGGTGCTGTAGATGATGGTGATGTAGATGATGGCGATGTAGATGATGGTAATATGGATGATGGTGTTGATGATTTAAAAAACAATCGCGCAAGACAGTGTTCCGAAAAGCGGAGTTCATGCGGCGCGCAGCGCCACCCGAAGGCCGAAGGCCCGAGAGAACGTTTCTAGTATATATTTAAAATCTGCAATCTCCTCTCGCTCCCACACTGGGACGCGAAAAGGGCCGATTTATCGGACCTAAGGATCTTCGCGGGAGTCGCGAAGCGGCGGGCGTCGTGGCGCGAAGCGCTTTTTCGCGGGTAAAATTTCGTCTTTCAGGTGCACCTCGCCTAGCCGCGGAGCGAAACAGAGACGCGACATGTCGGAAACGCCCACCGTCTGTTGCCGAAAATTGCCCTACGGATTTTCGCCCTCTTAGACGTTTTTCGGGACGTAGGGTCGTTATTTTCCCGTCCGAGACCGATTTCCGTCCTTCGCGATCGATATCGCGGTGAAAAAACGGAATTTGAACATTTCAAAATTTTCGTCGAGTTCGAGCCGATGCGGACCGTTAAATAACTTATATAAGGACAACCCACCGAGTGTCTGGGATAGCTCGAGGGACTGGACGCTGGCTGTCCATCTGCGAGACCCCGGTTCGAATCGTGAGCGGTTGGAGCTTTTTTATTTTTTATTCTCGCTATTTTCTACTTATTTATTTAAATATTATGTAGGAATATGTTTTATTTGCTTACCATATGCCTTTTTCAAACTTTTTATTTACAATATTTAATGAAATTAACACGGAATCGAAATGCGGCCGCTTTTTACTTTACTTTAAAATCTGCAATCTCCTCTCGCTCCCACACTCGAAGGCGAAAAACGACGATTTGCCGGACTTATGGGTATTTTCGCGAGACGCGAAGCGGCCGGACGAAGGGCACTAAGCGCGCTTCGTTTCTTCCTTTATCCAGACGTCATATTTTGAAAGCGATTTCTTATCGTATTCGATGTGAAATTTTCCTTTTCGAGGACGGCCGCTGGCGATTTTTCGCGCGGAACAGAGATGCAACGTGTCGGCAGATGGCAATGGCCATCCACGGAAACATGACAAGACAATTGCGATCGATGTCAGATCAGATTGAAACGTCAAAATAAATTTGACACCAAAAGCTAAAGACGTTCTAGGGTTGGGGATTGTTGTTATTTCATCTTTCTAGGCCTCTTTTAAACTTTAATTCATAGGTACCCTACGATATATACAGGTATTTATTTATCATTACGTTTTTATTTACATTTTTTCTTAGCTCAACCACTACATACGTGGTATAGGTACCTGCTGTATGTCTCTCGATTTGCTGTAAGTACCCACTAAAAATTGTATATTTCTTTCTAATTTTAAAGAAAACATCAGTACGTAAATCCATTCACCTTTGTATTAGTACATTTGCTTCCTTAATTACTATAATTATTACATTCGTATTATTCCACAAACGTCAAAAGTTGCGAATTATCGAAATAAGTTGGAGCTAAAGACTTTCAGGTCATGGAATGTTGTTCTTTCTCTGTTTTATAACATTCATTCAGAAAACAAGCTTCACATAAAGACGTTAGTGAAAGCAGATGTTTTGTAATGGATGTTTCATAAAGCTGACACAGGTGGACTAGGACTTTTTTCTCATTTCACTACAAAATTTCCTACATTATTTATTGAAATATCTTGATGAAAATTTATATAGTTACTCACCAGACGCTTTCTTTGAAAATGCATATACTGGATGTTCTACATAAATTGACCCAGGTCAGAATTATCGGTCTAGAGGCTTCTGTATATTTCAGATATTTATTGATGGCAACATTTTTATGAAAAATCTTATATTGTAGAACTCAGAAGCATTTCGCAAATTTATATACTGAGTGTTTCATAAAAATGAAACAGGCGGACTAGGATTTTTTTCTCATTTCACTACCCACTTTCCTACAATATTTATTGAAATCTCTTGATGACAATTTTTATAGTTACTGACCAGACGCTTTCTTTGAAAATCCATATACTGGATGTTCTACATAAATTGACCCAGGTAAGAATTATCGGTCCAGAGGCTTCTGTATATTTCAGAAATTTATTGATGGCAATATTTTTATGAAAAATCTTATATTGTAGAACTCAGAAGCATTTCGCAAATGTATATAGTGAGTGTTTCATAAAAATGAAACAGGCGGACTAGGATTTTTTTCTCATTTCACAACCCACTTTCCTACATTATTTATTGAAATCTCTTGATGAAAATTTATATAGTTACTGACCAGACCCTTTCTTTGAAAAATCCATATACTGGATGTTCTACATAAATTGACCCAGGTCAGAATTATCGGTCCAGAGGCTTCTGTATATTTCAAATCATATCTTATTAACCAGATGTTTTGTACTGGATGTTTCATAAAGCTGACAAAATTTTCCTTTCTCTTTCAACTTTATTTTTACTTACTGAAGGCTTTTAATGAAAAATTGTATATTTACTAACAAGATACCTTTTTGGAAGTTTATACTAGATGTTCCAAAAAATAATCCACTTCAAAATTAGGAGAAAGTGAAACTTATCTTATTTTTTTCCCATTTCTGCCTTACCTACGTACTGAAGTCTTTGAATAAAAAATTGTATATTAACTAACCATACACTTTCTTAGAAGTTTATACTGGATGTTCCAAAAAATGATCCACTACAAAATTAGGAGAAAGTGAAACTTAACTTATTTTTTCCCATTTCTACCTTACCTACCTACTGAAGTCTTTGAATAAAAAATTTTATATTTACTAACCAGATACCTTTTTGGAAGTTTATACTGGCTGTTCCAAAGAATGATCCACTTCAAAATTAGGTGACAGTGAAACTTAACTTATTTTTTTCACACTTCTGCATTACCTACGTACTGAGATCTTTGAATAAAAAATTGTATATTTACTAACCAGATAAATTTTTGGAAGTTTATACTGGATGTTCCAAAAAATGATCCACTTCAAAATTAGGAGACAGTGAAACTTGACTTATTTTTTTCCCGTTTCTGCCTTACCTTCATACTGAAATCTTTGAATGAAAAATTGTATATTCACTGTATGTTCTACAAGATTATCCACTTCAGAATTAGGAGAGTGAAACTTATTTTTTCCCCAATTCTGACGTACCCACGTACTGAAATCTTTGCATGAAAAAATTTATATTTACCAACTAGATATCCTTTTGGAAGTTTATACTGGATGTGCAAAATGATCTACATCAGAATTGAACCCACAACAAAAAGGCGGCAGACCAGATATTTTTTTAACCTTTTTACCTTTTTCTACATTCTTTGATAAAGTTCATTGATGAAAAATTTTGTATTTACCAACACGATGCTTTTTTGATAATTTTTATATCGAATGTTCCAACAAAATTGATCCAGGTCAGAGTTGCAGGTGTTCAAACGTATTCATATTCTCTTTATTTCATTCTACTTTATTTTTTTGAGGTCTTTTGATGAACAATTTTATAATATGTTTTTTGAAGCTTTACAATATACTGCATGTTCTATAAAATTGATCCAGGACAGACCCCGTGGGTTATTCCTTATCATATTTATTTCTTCTACTTTATTTAGTGAAGCCTATTCATGAAAATTTTTTTATTTACTAATCAGATGCCATTTTAAAACTTTGGATATAGATGATAGTTATGTAGACCATGGTGATGTAGATGTAGATGATGTAGATGATGGTGCTGTAGATAATGGCGATGTAGATGATGGCGATGTACATGATGGTGATGTAGATTATGGTGGTATAGATGATGGTGATGTAGATGTAGATTATGGCGATATAGATGTAGATGATGGTGATGTAGATGATAGTGCTGTAAATTATGGTGATGTACATGATGACGCTGTAGATTATGGCGATGTAGACGATGGTGGTGTAGGATGGCGATGTAGATTATGATGATGTAGATCATGGCGATGTAGATAATAGTGGAGATTATGGTGCTGTAGATGATGGCGATGTAGATGATGTAGATGCTTTCGATGTAGATGATAATTATGTAGTCCATGGCGATGTAGATGTAGATGATGTAGATGATGGTGCTGTAGATAATGACGATGTAAGTGATGGCGATGTAAATTGTGGTGTTGTAGATTATGGTACTGTAAATTATGGTGATGTAGATGATGGCGATGTAGATGGTGATGTAGATGATGGTGGTGTAGATGATAGCGATGTAGATGATGATGAAGTTGATGATAGCGATATAGATGATGGTGATATAGATGTTAGCGATGTAGATGATAGCAATGTAGATGCAGACGATGTAGATGATGGTAATGTAGATGACGGTGATGTAGATTATGGTGTTACAATTATGGCGATGTAGATGATGGCAATGTAGATGATAGCGATGTAGATGATCGTGTTGTAGATGATGGTAATGTAGATGATGGTGATGTAGATGATAGTGCTGAAGATTATAGTGCTAAAGATGATGATGATGTAGATGATGGCGATTTTGGATGATAGTGATGTAGATTATGGTGATACAGATGATGGTGCTGTAGATGATGGCGATGTAGATTATGGTAATGTGGATGATGGTGTTGATGATTTAAAAAACATTCGCGGAAGAGAGTGCTCCGCAAAGCGGAGCTTATGCGGCGCGCAGCTCCGCCGAAGGCCGAAGGCCCGAGAGAAACGTCAAGTCGGCGAAGCCGACTTACCTACGTTTCTAATCAATATATATTAAAATCCGATAGCTCCGTCTGCGTCGCACGATCGCCCCGAAAAAGAGCCGATCCGCCGGACGGAAGGCTCTTTCCTGGGGCCGCGTTCGGGGGCATTTTTGTAACGTTTTTTTCGCGTTTTCATATTTAATTTTGCCTTCATTTTGGGGTCTGATCGGCGACAGACGACCATTTCACAGGCCGTAAAGATTGAAGCTTTAAGACACGCCCACCCGGAGAAAATTCGAATGTCGTTAGAATTAATTATGTCAAAATAATTTCACGCCAAACGCGAAAGACGTCTGTAGGGTCGCGGCGAACTGTTATTTTACCTTCCTAGGCCTTTTTTTAACCTTAATACATTGCTACGCCACGACATATACAGGTATTTCTCATTATTAGGTTAGGTTGTTATTTACATTTTCGCAGCTCTACCGTTTGACATGCCTACGACTAGGATACCTGTCCCCCGAATTAACGTAAGTACTTGCTCTCTAAAACTGCATAATTTTAAACCAATCCATAGTACCTAAACCCTTTGTATTAGTACATTTGCTTCGTTAGTTACCTACTATACATTGCATTGCATTAGTATTACTTACTTCCCAAACATCAAAAGTTGCGAATTATAGAAATAAATTGGGGCTAAACTACTCTTCCAAGTCATGGAATGTTATTTATCTGTTTTATTTCATTGTGGATCTTTTGCGAGACGACTTTGTGTTAGAAAAATGCAAATTTAACATTACAAAAATTGTTAATTACTTCAGCTGTGAATGACAATTAAAATATCAATACAGACGAATTGTCGCTGAAGCGGTAGATAGCGCATTGGTAAAAACGGCCCGTTGTATTCGTTAGGTCGGGGTTCAATCTCAGACGAGGTAACCTAACATTTTTTTTTTATTTAATGCCGCAATTTAATTTTATATATGGACTCATCTTTTTAAACCATTCTGTAACAAAAAAATACAAAATTTCAAATAGGTTTCCATATACAGGGCATCTAAAAAATTGCGTTAAAACTCGAACAGTCCAGAGGCTCATATACCTATTTCAGTTTATTGATTGCAATATTTTTATGAAAAATCTGATATCGTAGTAATCATATGCTTTCTACAAAGGTATGTACCGAATGTTTCATAAAAATGACACAGGTGAACTTTGATTTTACTTAACTTTTCAATTTTCCAAATTTTTTATTGAAATATTTACATGAAAAGTTATGTAGTTACTAACCAAAGGGTTTTTTTGAAAATCCATATACTGCATGTTCTACATAACTGACCCAAGTTAAAATTATCGGTGTAGAGGTTTCTGTATATTTCAGAAATTTATTGTGGCAATATTTTTATGAAAAATTTTATATTGTAGAACTCAGAGGCATTTTGCAAATTTATATACTGAGTGTTTCAAAAATGACACTGACGGACTAGGATTTTTTTCGCATTTCACTACCCACCTAAATTTTCAAATAGATATTTCTACACACGGTATCTTATTAACCAAATGTTTTTTGCAATTTCTTTACAGGATGTTTCAAAAAACTGACACAGGTGGACCAAATTTTTTCTGATTCATTTTGTTAGTCTTTTTCATGAAACCTTTTGAAGAAAAGTTGTATATTTATTGACCAGCCGCTTTTTAGAAAATCCATATACGTACTGGGTGTTCCAAAAAATTGATCCACATCTGAAACGGGCAATTTTTCTCCTTTTCACTTTTCACTTTGTTTTTATTTACTAAAATATTTTAATGAAAAATTGTATATTTATTAACCGGATGTATTTTTAAATCTTTATACTGGATGTTCCACGAAACTGATCCAATTACCAACAGAACGAAACTTTCCTTATGTATATTTTTTTCCATTTCTACAGTTTGTACTGAAGTCTGCAATATTTTTATGAAATATTTTATACCCTACCAACCAGGTGATTTTTGCAATTTATGTACAGGATGTTTCGTAAAACTTACACAGGTGGACTAGATTTTTCCTTATTCATTTTTTAAATTTTTTCTTTAAATCTTTTGAAGAAATGACGCTCTTTTAAAAATCCATATACTAGATGTCCATAGAATTAAGGGCAGTTTTGTTTCTCTTCACCTTTAGCTTTGACTTTATTTACTAGTCTTTTAATGAAAATTTGTATATTTATCAAGCAGATGTCTTAATTTATTTTTTTACCATTTCTGCCTTACCTACGTAGTCTTTGGATGAAAAATTTTATATTTACTAACCAGATGCCTTTTTTGGAAGTTTGGAAGAAACTTTTCTTATTCTTTTCTCGAGCGGGGCCTACTCTTTTTTGAAAAACATTCTCATCATGCTTTTATATACAGGGTGTTTAAAAGTCAATGTACAGGGTATTTTAAAAAATGTTATATCTACTAACCAGCGAGGAAAGCACCGCGGAGCGGTGCTCGAGCCGCGCGCAGCGTGGCTCGAGGGCCGAAGGCCCGAGAGAAAGGTCAAACTCCGCGCCAGCGGAGCTTGCCTGCCTTTCTAGTTGTATTATTACTTGTTGTTGCTGATTTATTGGAGCAACAGTTCTTTTGTGTTTTTTGGATACTGTACCTACAATTAGCAAGTTTAACAATCAAATACATACTACATATTAATTACCTACTAAATTTCTTACCAGTTTCATCAAACAACTTGTTGTAATGTAAGATATGATTTTATTCTGGTGCCGCTCATTAAAGATTTCTACAAATTCTCTAAAAAATTTTCACTCCTTAATCTAACAATCTCTATTTCGTTTGTAAAGATAAATATTTTGCCGTAGCTGCAAAAGATTCTTACTTTATAACATATGTAAAGACCGGATTTTATGCAATTGCATATTTTATGCATATTTTGCATATATCTTCAAATTTGGTCATTTAATGCATATGTAGGATTTCTTTGCATATCTTGCATATTTACGTTATTTTTTCTATTTTGGAAAGTAGAAATAAAGAAATTTTGTTGTCATTTACTTATCATGGGCATTCGGACAGGTAGGTAGATTAATACCTACATAAAGTCATAAAAGTTAAAACCTAATAATAATTAATTATAGATTAAATATTTAAAATAGTTTAATACCTACATAAAGCCATAAAAGTTTAAACCCAATAATAATCCAAAAATATTCAGGTAAATATTAATAGATTTTTATAGCTTTGTTAAGCTGAGGTTTGAATACCTACTATACCTCTACTATAAATTATTTTTATAGTAGTTCGAACACCTAAAGTGTGCCCAAACAAAGTGAATGTGAATTACGTAGCGAACATGCCAAAAATTCAAAGTGCCTCGTGGATTAAACCGATTAACAGAATCAAATCGGGTCCTGTTCAGTCAACGTTGAAGCAAGCTGTGGAAGTCATCAGTAATCAACACCATGGGCAGACCAAATTTAATGAAGATTTGTGCAGAATGTTTTTGGCTGCGAATATTCCTCTCCACAAGATGACCAACCCTCAAGTGAAGGCATTTCTGCAAAAGTACTGCAAATTTAACACTCCAGATGTATCTACATTAAGAAAAAACGTCGTTGGAAAGGTATTTGCTTCAGTGATAGAAAAAATTAAGAAAGAAATTGCAGATAACTACATTTATATTATTTTTGACGAAACAACTGATGCTTGCGGTCGTTACATAGCTAATCTAATGATTGGAAAACTTTCTGAAGAACCTGGAAAACCTCATCTTATAGCAGTAAAAGAACTTGAAAAAACAAACAACCTAACAGTTACCCGTTATATTCAAGAAACATTAACACATTTCTATCTGCCACATCCAGTCCCTACAGATAAAGTTCTTATTCTGTTGTCCGATGCTGCACCGTATATGTTAAAGGCAGGGCGGAATTTAAAAATATTTTATGAAAATTTAATTCATGTAACTTGTCTAGCCCATGGATTCAATAGGGTTGCAGAGACCATTAGAACTTCCTTCCCATTGGTCAATGATTTAATTGCTAATGGGAAGAAAATTTTTTTAAAGGCCCCATTAAGAGTGCAGTTTTATAAAGCGTATTTACCTGAAACACCATTACCACCTGAGCCTGTTGTCACCAGGTGGGGCACCTGGATTCGAGCCGCAATATTTTATGCAGATAATTTCCAAAAATTTAAAGAGTTAGTTTTACAAATTGAAGATGATTCCCAATCCATTCAAAAATGCAAACAACTTCTTCAAAATTCTGAAATTGAACAGCAATTGATTTACATTAAATGTAACTATAGTTTTGTACCAGAAAGTATTTTAAAATTAGAAGGAACGTCTAAAAGCCTGCCAGAGTCAAAATATAGTAGAAAAATTTATATATAATTGTAAGCAAGTGCGAGGTGAAGTAGGAAAGGCCGTAGCTACGAAGTTAGAAGGGGCACTTGAAAGAAATACGGGTTATAATGTTTTAGTTTAGTTTAGAAAATTTGGATATTGAACCGGCTTTAATTCCAAACTTAAAATTTTGTCCTGTAACTTCGGTTGATGTAGAAAGATCATTTTCTTTATATAAACATATTCTTAGTGACCGAAGGCATAATTTTATAGTAGGAAACCTTTAAACACATATTGTTACTAGTGCATTTTACAATATTTCAGATTGATCTTGTAGTTTAGTATTAAGTTACGTTTATGCATATATTTGTACAATAATGTAAACTATGTAATACATGTTTAAAATTCGTTTAGTTGTTTATTTTATATCCTATTGCTTATAATTTAGTGAAAAAATAATTTTGCCAAAGAAAAGCCATGGAATTAGTCATTGCATATTTCATGGTGCTTTTGCATAAATGTAT